AATACACAGTGATGGCTCAGTGGTGAAGAGCACTGGATACACTTGAGGAGGACCCGAGTTTGATTCCCAGCACTGACATGGCGGTTCACAACCATCTGTGACTCCAGCGTCAGAGGATCTGACTCCCTTTTCTGGCCTCCAAGGGCACCAGGCACATGGTACACAGACATACATGCAGATAAAACACGCATACACATAAAAACAATGAATCTTAAAATAACTTTTAAAAAATGAAGAAGAAATGAGCTAATGGGGCTGGCAGGGTAGCTTAATGTGTCAAGTTGCCTGCCGTGGAGACCCAAGACTCGAGTTCAATACCCCAGTCCTACTTGGTGGAAGGAGAGAACTGACTCCAGCAAATTGGCCTCTGACCTCCACACACCTGCCATGACACGACACATCTACCTCCACACTAAATAAATAAATGTAGTAAATAAATAAATAAATAAATAAATAAATAAATAAATAAATAAATAAATAAATATTGTTAAAATAGTCTTATGTTACATATCTTTCTCAAGGTACAAAAATATCTTAGAAGCCAGGAGTGGTGGCCCACACCTTTAACCCCAGCACTGGGGAGGCAGAGGCAGGTGGATCTCTGTGAGTTCGAGGCCAGCCTGGTCTACAGACCAGCCAGGGCTGCACAGTGAGACCGTGTTGGGGGGAACTTATGCTGTTCGTTCACTCACATTATAAAGAGATTCTTTATCTTTCTTTATAAGCATATACATTAAATATCTTTATATGGTCTTTAAGACTAATAAAGATGACTTTTTGAAGTTCCCACTTATAATTGATTATGTAATATCTGTAATTCATCGTTGCTGGTTTTTAAAAATAGATTATTGAAAAGCTGATACTCTCCTGGGGCCAGAGGTCTTAGCTTTGTCAGCGTCCAGGTTTTCCTTGTCAAAGCAAATGAGTCTTTAGAGTCCATTCTTCTCTTAGAAGGAGGGTGCCGGCACTTAGTCTCACAGAACATTCCATCACATGAGCTTTTCTCACAAAGATCATAGCAGGAAGAATGAGGAAAACAGATGTTGCTTATAAGGCTTCTAATAGACGTGTTTCCATTGTAAGCTGATCCCACTCTGAATCTGGAGTCGGCTCCGTTCGCTGTGTGGGCCCAACATTTCAGTCTCATAGTTTGGCAGAAAGCTTATACCGACCTTCGCCTGTTACCTGAAATCTCCATGATAAAAAATACTCTTGAGAGAATGAGTTCACATTCTTCCAAAGACATCATCCTATTAACCAAATTAATTCTCTTCTGTAATTGGACAAACTTTCTTTATCAAATACAGAGCGTTTTCTGGGCCTTGGAGGTGGGGGGGGGGGAGCACATAAATCTGGTGTAATGATCTCTACAGGTCATTGTACCACAGCTTCAAATTAACCTTCAACTCCACCCTGCTCCCTAAGCTGCCCAGGACCTCAGGGAAGGCCGGAAGTCGCCCGCAGAACAGTTCCTCATTATCCTCGGTCCTGAGCGTTTGAGCACAGCAGCCGCTCAGGTGCCCCGAGGGCCGGAGCACAGGTTTTTCTGGTTTTGTCCTCTCTTACTTGTAACTACACTTTCTTCCTTCCTTCCTTTTATGTTTTTATGGCTTTATTGTAGTATAATTGTTTGATTGTAGTGTAATTGACATACAATAAAATACACATTCTTAAGTGCAGTTTCAACCTTGAAGTGTGATATGCCTGTCCTGAGCGGCTCAGCCATTCCCATGCCCTTCCTGAGCCCTTCTTCCTGCCCATCTCATCCATTTGATGGCCTCCACTTGGGAACTTGCACAATAAGGCTGCTGAGAAAGTTCATTGACAAGTCCATACATGTCTGCATTCATTTACGTGGGTAAATAGCTAGAAATAAAATGACTGAGTCTTAGCGTAGGTTAATTTAACTTTTTATAATGAGATTTCATTTTATTTTATATGTGTGAGTGCTTGCCTGAATGTATGTCTGTGCACCACATGTGTGCCTGGTGCCCTAGGAGGCCAGAAGAGGGCTTGGATTCCCTGGAACTGGAGCTACAAACTGTTGCAAGTTGACATGTGGGTGCTGGGAATGGAACTCCAGTTCTGCCAGAGTAGCCTGTGTTCTTAATGACTGAGCCATCTCTCCAGCCCCAAACTTAACTTTTTAAAACACTGGTAAATCGTTTTCCAAATGGTCTTGTCATTGTACATTCCCAGGGGCCAGTTAGATGGCTCACTGGGTGCAGGCATGCGCTGGCAAACCTAACAACCGAATTCAGTTCCTGGAACTCTCGTAACGGTGCAAGGAGAGAACCGAACCGCTCGCCCACTGTGGCACACGTTCCCTCACACACATCACACTCGGGCGGTGATCAGTAAAGTCTCCTTTACATTCACTAAGTCGGTGTGCCTGAGGTTTGGGAGGAGGCTGCATCCGGGCAGTCTCACTCCGTGTCATTTTAGTGACCACAATGTCACTGCTGCATTCGGCATGTGTATTTGGCACGCGTTTCTCTTGGCTGGCTTTTTTTTTTTTTTTAATTGAGTTGTTTCTTGTTACTGAGGTACAGAGTGAATTTGATGAAATCCCAATTATTGTGTCTTCTCCCCATCACCTTCGTGCGGCCTTTCTGTTCCTTTGCAGTGGCTGGTCTTACACGACTTTCTCAGACACATTCCCAGGTATTTCACAAGTTTGATACATGAGTAAATAGCATTTGAATGTTACTTTTAACTGTTCACTATTAGCTGTAAATGCTACCTGTGTACGTGTGTGTGTGTGTGTGTGTGTGTGTGTGTAGCCCTTCAGTTGATTTTTTCAGTTGGTATCTTCCAGCCTTACTGAACTCCGTAGCTCTAGTAACAGGTTTCCAGATTCCCTGGGGTTCTTACAGAGATGCATTTCTGCATAAGTGCAGGGTTTTATTTGTGTTACTGTTTTGGTTTTTGAAGCATAGTCTCCTGTTAACCCAGGCTGGCCTCAAACTTCACTTGAGTGGCTTTGGATGACCTTGAACTCCTAATCTTCTTGCCTGCAGCTCCCAAGTACTAGGATTAAAGGTTGTGCTACCTTGCCATGCCAAAATGGACTAGGAATTCCCCTATTTGGCATTATCGATACCATAGAGTGCTTAGCAGTGTCACTCCCTCAACCAACCAGATGGACGTTGCCAACTTTTTGTAGAGGGAAGAGATGAGACAGGGTCTCACTGTGCAGCTCTAGCTGACTGGAATTCTCTATGTAGACCAGGCTGGCCTCAAACTCACACAGAACCACCTGCCTCTTTGGGGACTGTGGTACACCTGAGGTGGACGTGGGTTTATCCAGACAAGAGTTATCTGGGGTCTTCTCTATAAGAAGCTCTTTCTGAGACAGGGGCTTGCTATGTAGTCCAAGCTGCCCTGGAGCTCAGAGCTGCCTGCCTCTGCTGGGATCACAGGTTCCCCCCGACCCCCACCGTGGCTTTTACTTACAGTAGCCACAAGGCTGGTCAGGCTAGTGACTTCTGACAACCTGTCTCTCTCAGGGAAGTGTCCAGTTCACCCAATGTGGCAGATCTGTGACGTAAGCTGTTCATCGTGCTTCTTAATTATCCCTTCTCATGTGCCAAGTCCATCGTGACATCACTGCTCCTCGTGGATTTATACTGGCCTTCTCTGACTGTCTGTCTGTCTTGTCAGTCTGTCTAGAAATGTATTTGTTTCGGCCTCCTCATACTCCCCATTCCATCCTCTCAACCCCGTGACACTCTGGACAGGTCTGGGTTGTCGCCCCTTGTGTGTGACCTCATAGCCATGCACAGTAAACTAGACTCATTTTCGAGTCCTCCTCCCTTTCTTAAGCCCTTTGTAGCTAATGTAAAATATTTGAAGAACTTTGTTTCATATAATTTGTCTTTAGTTCATCTGTTTCTAGAAGAAGAATAACCCTGGCTCGTTTTATTCCAATTTGGTGAGAAGCCGTCTTCAATGATGTTTCTATGTTATCTTTTTGGTTTTTTTCAAGACAGGGTTTCTCTGCGTAGCTTTGCGCCTTTCTTGAAACTCGCTTTGGAGACCAGGCTGGCCTCAAACTCACAGAGATCTGCCTGCCTCTGCCTCCTGAGTGCTGGGATTAAAGGCGTGCGCCACCGCTGCCTGGCAATGTTATCTTTTTTGATTTTCCA